GGCTGGAGGAGCGCAGGGTCAGGACGGCGAGGGTGCCAGGTGCAGCAAGCAGCAGTTGGGAGGGGAGGCCGGCCGAACGCACACTATGTGTGCCACTGGCGGAGGCCCTAGTTTTGCAGGAGGTGTAGTGCCCAACCCCACCCCACACCACCAAACGGTAACCCACAGGCCTGCGCCTTGCCTGCTTGTCTTCGTTGCCGTCGCACAGACCGCAGACTGCAGGCAGTTGCCCTGGCGGGTGGCGGTGCCCAGCATGTAGCCTGGGGAGGTCTCGCACTCGCCTACGCTGGCCCAGTAGCTGCGCAGGCACGGTGGGGAGGCGGGGTGGCAGGACGGGGTGGTGGGCAGGCGTGGTGGCGGCGCTGAGAGGGGCTGGCAGCGCTGGTGCAAGCGCCCATCTGTTTGACATGAGGCGGGTGCGATGCTGGCGGCGCCTTCCGAGCAGCGGCAGCCCATCCCAGCTGCAGCGTCGGAGCGCAACCCACCACCACCGCCATGCCAACAACCCCAGCAACAGCCGCCCTCGCTCACTCGCAGTTTTCATTCAGGTCCTGGCAATCGTCTGGCACAATGCCGCCATCATTGTAGTCGCCGCACAGGCCGCAGCTGGCCTGGAAGAAGAAAGAAAGCCATGCATTCGTTATAACATGCAAGCTAATTAGCTGGCTACGCTGGGGTGAAGAACGCCAGCCAGCACGGGCATGCCAGCAATGCGCTTGCCCGTAAAGCTGCCTGGCGCCTGGCGGCACCATCAAGCTGACCTGGCAGGCGCCAGGAGCGTCGGGTGTGCCCATCATCCAGTCAGAGCTGCAAACAGGGTGGAGTGGGGAGGGAAGGGAAGGGGTTAAGGAAGCTGGAAGAAGCAATGCATTGGGAGGCTGCAGGGGTGGAGGGGAAAGTTTGCCAGGCGAGGGTGCGCAGAGCGGCCGCGGCGGCCGCGGCACCCCAGACTTGCTTGGTGTCGCATTCACGCTGCTTGGCCCAGGTCTTGCACTGCGCGTACAGGTCCACGCAGGCTCCAGGTGGTGGTGGAGGAGGAGGAGAGGGCGAGGGCTTGGGGGCGGGTCCAGGGGCGTTTGAGTTGGGATAGGACGCGGCGTTGGTGGGCACAAAGCCCTGCATTGGCAGTTGAGGAAGTGGGCCAGGCCAGGCAGGCAGCAGCGAATGGGGTGAGCAGGCAGCTGGGAGGCGAGCAGGCACCCAGACTGTCCATCCCCGCCGCCGCTCACCCCTGCCTCATACATCTTGCAGTATCTGGAGGGTTGCAGGCAGGGGAGAGGGGAGATCAGCTGCTGGAAGTCTTGAGGAGGGCGGCGCGGCATATGCATCAGCAAGCAGCTGCCCTCCCTGGCAGGCTTGGGGAGGCCCAGCTGCAGCTGCCGCCATCATGCCGTAACTGGGGAGCTGCCACCCAGGCTGCTGTGAAAGCCACGAAGCAGGGCCCTAGCTGGGCTCCTCACCCCAGCGTGCCGTCAGCCAGCATCGGAATCTTGACGTAACCCTTGTCCATCCAGCTGCGCAAGCGGGCACAGAGGGCGAGTGGTGCAGGATGCGGCGCGTGGACGCCGCTTGCAGCAGCATGCTGCGGCGCTGCTGGACCAGAGAGGGTTCATTCCTTGGCACCAGGCCCGCGCCCATGGCATGCCATTTGTACTGGCAGGCTGGCGGCAACGCAGCAGGCGCCGCAGCAGCAGGCGCCACTGCCAGGCCTGGACAGGCTCCTCACTTGGTTCCCCACGAGTTTTTCACGATCCAGTAGGCATCCGCCGCGCCGGGGCGCGTACCCTGGTTGTAACCGACGATCTGCGGCGGCGGGAGGGGTGGCGGGGATAGGGATAACCAGTGGTGGCGACGACTTGTGTGTGTGTGTGTGCTGTGGTTGGGGTTGGGGCTAGCGGCAGCTGGGCAACCGCAGCACTCCACCAGTGGGGGGGCACCACAGGCAGGCGAGGCCTCCGGGCCGCAGGTGCCTCACCAGCATGGCATGGTTGGTCTCTGCCTCGCAATCTTGCCTGCAGGCAGGCATGGAGACGGCGGCCGCGGGTCATGTGAGGGAGGGATGACGCGGGAGTGGGGGGAGGCAGGGGCAGGGCAGGGTGGCCAGCAGTGGAGCAGCTACCAAAGCTGGGGGTGAGCGGGAGACCAGCTGTTTGGCTGTACAGCCTGTCTACATATCCGCAAAGGGCCTTGCGGCACAGGCCTGCGCACCGGTAGATGCCTGTGTCGAAGCCAGACACAAAGGTGTCGCTGGCGGCGAAGTAGAAGGCGACGGGCTGCTTGGCCACGGCCTGCTCGCCTCACATGTGCACGCAGCAGGCGGCAGGGATAGTTCGACAAGGAGGTAGCACCAGCCTGTGAGCGCCAGCCTGTACAAGCACCGCCAGCACACATGCACATGCAATGCGGCCATGGCCACCGCTCTCCGCACCCCACCTGCATCAGCGCGGTAGCGCTCCTGGGCTGCACCAGCGTGTACCCCTGCCCCATCAGCTGGGTCAGCTCCTTCTTGGGGACGGCCGCCGTGCTGCGGCACTGGCCCTGCAGCCCGCTGAAGGCCTGCGGGCGGGCGGGCGGGCGGGCGGGCGCAGCGGCGGTGGTGAGGTGCTGCTGGGCAGCTACGGGCCCAGCTGCCGCATGTAATGCGGAACCACAGCCATGCCCCGGCCACGGCCCCCTGCCGTGCCCACAGTAGCAGCACCACCACCGCAATCACGACCACCCACCACCACCACCACCACCGACTCACATTGGCGTACGAGTAGCGCGCCTCCTGCACCACCCCCCTGCGCGCCATCCAGCTCAGCGCCTCGTCAGCGTACCCGCCATCGCACGTGGCCCCACGCACGCAGTCCACCTGCAGGGGTTCGCGCGGTGGTGGCGGGGCATGGGTTGGGTGGTGGGTGTCGGGACTGGGGTTGGGGTGTTGGTGCGGCCGGCGGGTGCCAGTGGCCGGGGCATGGCTGTGCACACACACACAAATCGCCTCCGCCACACACGCAGCCAGGCTTGGACCGATGGGCTGGCCAGCCCAGCCCGCCACCCACCATCTGCCCCTCAGCCAGGTCGATCCTGAACCCTGCCGCCGTCTTGCCAGACTGCAGCAGCACCCGCGACTCCACAGCGTGGGTGGCCGCCCAGATCCAGCACGAGCCACACTGCAGGGGGGGGGGTGGGCGGGGGGGGGGGGGGAGGGGGGGGGGGCATCAGCGACTGCGTGGTGTGGGCGGCGCTGGCAGTGCTAGGGCTTGGCGGCAGCATTGCGGCAATGATGGGAGGGAGAGTGATCGAGGCGCCGGGATTCCCATCGGGGCTGGAGCATGGCAATGCCGTGCCCCAAGCGGGCACCAGGGCTGGAGCACGGCTTGACCATGCCTCAACCTCACAGCGGGGCTGGAGCACGGCAACGCCCGCGGCAGCATATGAAGCAGGCAGGCCCAGCCCCGACCGCCGCCACGCGACGGCGTGAGGACGCACCCCGCCCTGGTCGCCCACGGGGGTGACCTTGCCCGAGGTGCGCCAGTCCACGGAGCGCGGTGGCGCGGCGGCGGCGGCGGCGGCGGAGGCCGTCGCCGCAGAGCCCTGGGCCCTGCGGGGAGAAACCAAGCGGGGTGTGTGGCGATGTCACCACGAACAGGAACGCCCCGGCGGTGCACAGCAAGGGCCCCCAGCAGGCCACTGATGGCGGTCAAGGGGAGCTGGGGCTCTGGGGTAGCATGCCTGCTGCACCCACACCACCCACTTTTTGATGATGCCCTGCATGCGCTTCTTGTCCACCTTGATAAGAATCTTGGAGCGCTTGTCCGCCCATGACAGGTCGCTGCGGGGGCAGAGGCGGCGGCGAGGGCTACGTCGGTCGCTCGCTGGCAGCTGCTGCCACGCTGGCGGCCGGTCGGCATGCCTGGCCCCCCGCTCTTCAAGTTGCCCCCACACACACATCTCTACACACACACACGCACAAACACACACACACACACACACAAACTGTGTTCTCCACGCACCCTTGCACACCCGCACACCCGCACTCCACACCTGTACTGGTTGAGTGCCTGGAAGTACTTGGGGTTGCGCAGGTTGGCGGCGGCGATGGCCCTCACGTTGGCCTGGAACTTGGCAAAGGCGGCCTTGTCCTGCATGGCAGGGAGAGGCGACGAGCACAGCAGGCTGGGGCGGAGGCCCGCTGGGGTGACGGCAGCAAGAATGGAGGAGCGTGGCTATTTGCTGGGGTGGCAGGTAGGCAAAGGCAAGCGCCGGCAAGGGGAGGCAGGCCCAGCCACGCGGCCAGCAGCAGTTCTGAGGCTGGCCTCCCGCCAGAGAGACTGGCCAGCCGCCGTGGCTCACCGCCGCCGGGTTCTTGTAAGCCTTCTTGAACTTCTTCTTCCAGTCGTCAAACAGCAGGCGCATGGCGGCGGGGTCCTGCAGGCGGGAAGAAAGCAAGCAGCCGCCCTGGTGCCGAGTCGTGCAGGCAATACCAGCAGAGGGCGGCAGGCGCAGGGGGCGGAGCCCGCGTCGCAGCTGCCTGAACCGAGGCAGGCGGAATCGCCCAGGAGGCGGCTGCGGGCTGCAGCGTCAGCCACGTCACCTGGCTGTGCGCCTGCAGCTGCCCCCTCCCTCTCTCTCTCCGCTCCCTGGCCCCAACACCCAGCAGTGCCTGCTGCCTTGCGCCCACCCCACCCGCATGCGCCCCACCAGCCCGCCCACCTTTGCCAGCTTCTGCAGCGTGGCTGACACCGTCTGCGACACCTTCTTGTTGTACAGCTCGGCGAATTTGGGAGGCTTGGTCGCCGACTTGGGCTTGGCGGCCAGCAGCTTGGCGGCAGCGGCCGCAGCGGTGACCACGCCGTCCTGGGCCGGCTTGGGCGGTTTCACGAGCGGCCTGGGGGCCACGCCCTGCATGCGCCGGCGCGTGCCGGCGGCTGCCGTGCCGTGGGAGCTCAGGCGGCGGCGCAGCGCGGACAGCTTGGCTAGCAGGCGTTCCTCGTCGGTGAGCGGTGGCGGCGGCGTGGGCTCGCCCTCCATGAGGGAGCGGCCGGCGGCGGACCGCGCCCCGTGCGCCGCCTGCCTCGCCCTGCGGCGCGCCGCGCGTGCGGGGCCGTCATGGATGGACTCCCGGGCGGAGCCGTTGGCGACAGAGTAGCCCGGCAGGCAGGCGGCAGGCGCCGACAGCGCCGCCACGACGCACAGCGCCGCCACCACAGTGAGCCGGCACATGCTTGTTTCCGAGTATGAACACGCTCTCAAGGCGCAGTCTGTACGCAGGGAGGCGTGGCCAGCAACGATCGGGCAATGAGGCGGACGGGGCACTTGTCGCCGCAAGGCCGGCCGTCGGCGCCGCGGTACGATCGTGAAGCTGGGCCTTCGACAGCCCGGTTTGCCTCTCGGCATGGTCCGGCAGAATTTTAGACGCTCTATGTGCAGGCTGGGGCTAGAAGCGCAGCGCTGGCCACGCACAGAGCCCCACTCTCCGGCACACTCACCCGCTGGCAGCTGCTGCGGGTGGGATATCTAACAAACTTCCTGCAGGTGCGGAATATCCCAGCAGCGAGCTGCAAGCCCACTCGCTGGCCCCAAGGAGACACAGACTGGTGCCCACGCCAGGCTGGGCGGCCGTCCGTCTGCACTGAACAATCCGAAGCGACCCGCTGCTGGTCAATTGCCCAGAATTCTGCACGCAAGACGCGAACTGGCGGGCACGGCAGCTTCCTGCGATCGTGCCGGAGCTTACATGCAGCTGGCTGTTAGATGCTGGAGGCTTGCCCCCAGCGCAGGAACGGACCATTGGACATTGGGTCGTAAGGTGGGCGAGGGGGGGGCTGGCGGGGGGCCTGGCCGGGCAGGAGCTGGCATCCCGTCGGCGCCGCCTCTGGCGGTGGAGAGGCACGCACCAATGTGATGCTTACAATTGCTGGGGGAGGTTACAATTGCTGGGGGAATGGGGCTACGGTAGGTGAGCATCAACACAGGAGTGGAAGGAACAGGCGGGAAGGGAGCAGCGCTGCAGCGGCACGCGAGGCGCGGCCGGGCTGCGGCGGGCGGAGCACGCCGAGGGGGGCGCAGGGCCGCGCGCCGCCCTACCACCCATACTTCTTCTGCGTCTCTGCCTTGGTCTTGGACCCCGCGGCCCGCACCTCCAGCTGCTCCAGCTCCTTCTGCTTAGCGTAGTGGTACAGCGAGCCGATCTGGTGCCGCCGCTTGGCCAGCTTGGAGGGGTCGGAGCCTGCGGGAGGGAGGCGGGCGGGAGGCGGGCAGCAGGGTGGGATGGGTAGGTGGGCGCCGCGGCGCGCAGAGGGCACGGCAGGCGATCCATCCTTCAGAGCCTGCCTGGCGGTGCATGGCGCCCAGAACACGCACTGCCCGCCAATCCAGCAGCCGAGCAACCCAGCAACCCACCACCCAACCCAGCCACCCCTCCGGCATTCCGCCACCACCACCCCACCGCCACCACCACCACCCCGCCACCCACCCACCCGCCTCCTTGCGCAGCTTGGCCTCGTAGTCTGCCCCCAGCGCGTTGCGGATGGCATCCACACCCGCCCGCTGCCCCGGATCCATCGCCTTGAGCTGGTCGCCGCGCACCTGGAGGGGGGGCGGGCGGGGAGCGGGGGGCGCAGGGGTGCTGGTTGGTGGGGAGCAGGCTGTGGCTGGTGAGGAGCGGGCTGCGGCTATTGGAGAGCAGGCTGGACAAGAGGATGTGGTGGGAAGCGGGCTCTGGGCGCCCTCCCTGCCCGCCCCCACGACACAAAGCACCAGCCAGCCCCACCAGCCTGCGCCCAGCCTGCGCCCAGAGCACCACCCAGCCCCACCTCTCTGATCTCTATGCCCGCCGCCGCCGCCGGCTGCCCCCTGCGCGCCGCCTTCTCCCGCTCCGCCGCCAGCGCCGCCTGCAGCATCGCCTCTGCGGGGTCGACGGCGGTGGCGGCGGCCGCGGCGACGGCGGCCTGCTGGTGCTGGTTGTACTCGTGGCCGCCGTGCTGCTGGTAGTAGGCCTGCCAGGAAGCGTACTGCTGCTGCTGCGCCGCGTCGTACTGCGCCGCCGCCGCCGTACCGCCACCCCCGCCGCCCGCGTCGACGCGAAACGCCTCGTTGCCGTCAGCGGCGGCGCCGGGCGCGTCGCCTGCGCCGGGGCGGGCGGGGCGGGCGGGGTCGACACGCGGCAGAGCACACTCGCAGGCACAGCCAGCCAGCCAGCCAGCAAGCAAGCAAGAGCGCAGGCCTAGGCCTGCCAGCAGGCCAGCCAGCAGGCCAGGCGCGGGCGCCCACCTGGCGCCAGGTCCACCATGCCGCTGCGGTCCTCTGTGCCCGGCACAATCTCATCGTCGTCTGAGTCGTACTTTCTTCCAGCCTTGGCCCCTGCCCCTGCGCCGCCGGCCGCGCCGCCACCCAGCACATCCAGGCGCCGCCCGCTGCCTGCCGCCGCATTCTTGGGCGCCGGCAGCAGCTCGGACAGGCTGCGCCCGCGAGCGCTGGCCTTCTGCCGCTTGCGCGCCGGCTCCTGCACCACGGGCCCAGGCGGCATGCCAGTCGACCGGGTGAGTAGCGGAGGGCCCGCGTCAGCCCTCCGGCAGCAAAGACTGCGCTGCCCAGGCACTGGCAGCGCGCTTGCTGCCGCAGAGGGCGCCAGCGCCCGCCCGCCTCCCGCACCAGCCCAGCAGGCTGCCCATCCATCCAGCCAGCCCTGCCCACCTCCTCCACGGCTTTGACATCCGCAGGGTCGTAGCTGATGGGCACACGGAACTGAACCACCACTTTCTTCTTCTGCGCAGGCTTGGGCAGCCCGGAGAAGAGCGGCGCCTGCGGGAGCTGTGCAGCGGCATTTTTCAGGCACAGGGAGGAGGGGTCTTGAACGCAGCTCCGCACGGGCAGCAGCTTGGACGGTGTGGCAGCCCGTCTGTGACACAGAGTGATACCAACTAGGCGGCTGCACGAAGGAAAAACACACAGCAGGAGCATTCTCTCGACAGGCTGGCGGCAGGGCAGCAGCACCTTGGCTCCCGAGGGCGCCGGCAGCCTGGAGGCCAGCTGCGACGGGTCTGTGGGCGGCTGCTGGGCTACTGGGGGCGCTGCCTGCACCGGCAGGCGGCTGGTGAGCAGCGTGGCGGTGCCAGTGTTGCTTGCGGGCTGCGGGGAGCCGGGATCGCTGTCCGAGCCCGACCCATAGCCTCCCAGAAGGTCCATGGGGACGCCACCAGGCCCAGGGGATCGCTCGAGCAACAATCGAGCTCAGCAGGGAGGCCAAAACCCCGAACAGGGAGCACAAACCAATATAAATGCAGTGGTTCCCGATCCTGTGCAAGCGAGAAGGCAAATGAGCCGCAGTTCGCCCACATTGCCCCCGTCTTTCCACCACCTCCCCGCCTCATCCATGGTCGCCCTCCAGCCGCTCTGCACACGCATACCCGGCTGCCTCGCTCTCGCAGTCCTGCACCGGGCCTGCAGACCTCTCTGACTGGTGCTGCGAGGCGGGCAGGTGTCATGCAAGCGAGTGCATTTGCGGGGACCCGGCTGGCGGCCTCCCAGGCCACCACCGCCCGGCAGCAGCGGCAGCAGCTCAATGTAGTGGCCAAGGACAGCCGCATTGGCAAGGTCCCAGTGCCGGTGCCAGACAAGGTGTCGGTCACTCTGGATGGGCAGACGGTGAAGGTCAAGGTGCGGCGGCACGTCACTGCGGATCTCCAGCCGACGATGAGGCGGCTGGGCACCCGCCAGGCGCCAATGCGTGGTGCCAGCGACGGCAGGCGGCATCGCAGCGGCGCGGCGGCGGGGCGGCCCAGCACGTTTGCTGTGGTCAACTTTACAGATGGAAGTCCAGACATCTTTATTGGCTTGTATCTGCTGCTGCAGGGCCCCCGGGGCGAGCTGCAGCGCACTTTCCACCCGGCGGTGAAGTTTGAGCAGGTGCGGCGGCCTGGCCTTGCTCTGCTGCCCGGTTTGCGCCTGTACACAGGGCCAACAGGGCCATGCTGCGCTTCACCGGACCATCGATGAGCATGCCAGTAGCCTGCCTGCATATGCCTGGGGGGATCCAGCGGGGACAGCACCGTTGTCAGCCGCTTTCAGACAGCCGGGCAGGCAGCGCGGCAGCTTACAGATGGCCTCGAGCGCAGGAGCAGCCCATGGCTCAGTGGCGGCGCAGGGAACTGGAAGCAGCGATTGGACGCAGTGCTGCAATCATGGCCTCAGCGGGGAATCATCAGGAAATATGAACCCGAGTCCTGGCCCGGCACCGCGGGAGCAGCAGCTGCAGCTGGGGTGTCCATAACAGCATGCAAGGCAGCAGCCGGCACGCCCTCGGCCGCCGGCGGCCCGGCATCGCCAGGGCTCGCCCCGCGCTTGCCTGCCGGCCGTGCCGGACTCTCCCACCACCCACCCACCGCGCTCCCCTGACCTCCGCTCCCTCCCCTGCCCCTGCCCCTGCCCGCGGCCCGAGCAGGAGGAGAAGGCGATCCGGGTGGTGCGGGCCAACGAGACGCGGACGGCCAACCAGCAGCACGGCCTGGCCCGCTCCCTGCTCTCCAACATGGTGGTGGGCGTGGACACCGGGTTCACCACCAAGCTGCAGGTGGGCAGGTGGCGTGCGCATGCGTCGCGGCTGTGTTGATAAGCCGCAGTCACGCCGGCGGGCGTGTGGGTGGAATGGGTGTGCACCGATGCAGGCCGCCTGGGCGTGGGTGACTGGTCTGTGGGCGAATTCGCGGCGCCGGCTTGAGCTGGGGACTGCGCAGGCGGCAGCCCTCATGTACCGCCACACGCTGCCCGCCCATGCCCGCACGCCGCCTCCACTCGGCCGCGCACTCTGCAGATGATTGGCGTGGGATACCGTGCGGCGGTGGCGGGCAACAACCTGACCCTCAACCTGGGGTACAGCCACCCCGTGGAGATGGCCATCCCCTCGGGCCTGGCGGTGAGCTGAGCTGGCGGGGGCGCTGAGCTGGCGGGGGTGCTGGGGCACAGGGCGCTGGGGCTAAAGGCGCACGGCTGCGCCTGCCTCCCACGGGCGGCCCTTGTGTTCCTCCGCCCTGTGTCCTCCGCCGTGCCCCCCCACCCCGCCGCGCCCCCCTCCACCCCCTCCTGCAGGTCAAGGTTGAGAAGAACACCAACATCGAGGTCAGCGGCTTTGACAAGGAGCTGGTGGGCCAGTTCTCGGCCAACATCCGCAGCAAGCGCGAGCCGGAGCCGTACAAGGGCAAGGGCGTGCGGTGAGTGGCGGCGGGGCGTGGCGGCGCGGGGCGAGGTTGCCCGTGGCGGCGGCGGCGCCTCGTGCGCGCGGCGCGCCTCGCCTCCCTCCTGCTTGCTTGCCCTATTGCCTGCCTCCTGCCTCTCCAACAACACAACCGTCTCATGAACACTCCCCCCTCACACACAACACACACACACCTCACCGCAGGTATGCTGACGAGGTGGTGCTGCGCAAGGAGGGCAAGCGCGGCAAGTAAGCAGTACCGCAGCAGTGCAAGCAAGTAGCAGTACAGCAGCACGGGGCGTACTGCAACTTGCTGCTCCCCCGCAGCAGGGCGCCCCCAGCCCCTCGCCCCCTCCTTTTCCCTGCTCTCCCCTGCGGCGCCCCAGTGCCATCCCCTTTCTTCTTTTCTTGCTTTACATGGAGCACCCATTGCTGCTCAGTTCAGTTTCAACTTGCGAGGCTCCCCCCCCATGCTTGCCGTCTGCAACACTGTGTAATGCATGGCAAGGAGCCGGCCGCCAGCGCTGAGGCAACCTAGCTGTATATTTGTACACAGTCCACTGCAGCGAAGGCGCTCCTCCACTGGGCGCCTTGTCCAGCGCCGTTTCATTGTGGCGCCGCTCCCCGCCCCCCTCTCAGTACAACGACTCCTCTTGGTGGGTCTGCATGGCAGGGGCCATGCCGGCAGACTTCCTTCATTCTCAGGAGCTGCACAGTCGTGGCACAGCGGCCTCCATCACACCAGTGTCTCAGCTCCGCCCAGCCCAGCCCTCCACGCCTCCCTCCCACCTGGATGACGCAGTCGGCGGTTGGGTAGGCCACACAGATGAGCGCAAACCCCTTCTGCATCTGCGCCGGTGCACAGGCAGGCGGCACAGGCCACGCACAGCGGGCCCGGCCAGCAGCGGCGCCTCAGCGCCTGCCCTTCGCACGACGGCACACCTGCCTGCTGCTGCGTGCCGGCACCACCCCCTGTTTCCTCGCCCCACCAGTGCACTGCCAGCACCGTTGCCTGTATGCTGCGGCGGCAGCAGCCAGGCCTGCCTGCTCCTCATCCAGGAACATCTGGTCGCTCTGGTCCACTCCGCCCTCCACCACGCGGGCGCAGCACGTGGAGCAGGTGCCCGCCCGGCAGGAGTAGGGCAGGTCCATGCCCGCCTCCTCAGCTGCAGGGCAGGGCGCCGGGAGGGGCGACAGGTGCCCGGGGTTCAGCGGCGCTGCTGGGAATCGAAGGTTTGAGTGCTGGGGCTGGCCAGGGGAAGCCAGAGAGGAGCAGTGCAGGCGGGAGGGCTTGGGGGCTCGTTGGGTTTCCACACCAGAAGCAGCGGCGGCGGCGAGCGCCAGCAACCGTTGATCGGCACCTGCGTCGAGGATGTAAACGTCGTCAGGCGCCTCTATCGTGGTCTCCTCGCCCTTGGGCAGCTTGAACGTGACCTTGTACAACGCAGCAGACGTCGCCACGAGCCTAGGACTGCCGTGGACTGCGGGCCCTGGCCGAATGTTCAGCCTGGGCCGCGGGCAGCCTCAGCCCCTGGCAGGGCACAGGCCCACACATGCTGCTTTCATCGACACGGTTTGATGCAGGGTTTGGGGGAGCGCCGCTGCCTCATGCCGCTGCCGCTGCTATGCCGCTGATGTGGCACAACTTCTTTCTTTAAGCTTTGATACATTCGGGTGATGGAGGAAAGGGAATGCCATGGCGGAGCAGAAGAGACACACTGTATCATTCATCAGACGTGGTCCTGTGCCGCGCCGCCTTGCTCTCCTCGCTGCCGTGCCGGCTCCCCGCCTCCCCGCCTCCTCCGCCGCCGCCACCCGCTGGCCCCACAGCCTGCCGCTGCCAGTCCTGCTGCTCCTGCTGCGCGTCCTGCTCAGCAGCGGCCCCTGCCTCAAGCGCCATGCTGCCCCCTGGCGTCAGCGGCACCGCCGCCATGCCCAGCGCCTCGCCCATCCGCAGCAAGTGCTCCGCCAGGGCCCGCGCGTCGCACACCTCCCCGCACACCTCTGCAGCGCCAGGGGGGTGTCCGGCGGCCAGGGGAGTGTGCCAGGGTGGGGTGCAGGGGCTGGGGCAGCACAGGGCAGCTGGGCAGCTGGCAGCACGCCACCCACGCAGCGCGCTTCCCAATGCGGCGTGCTCCAGCGAGGAGCAGCCAGCACCGGCACCGGCACTGGACAGTACCCCCGCGGCTGCCTGGGGAGCAGCAGCGGCAGCGGCTGCAGCCTGCAGCCCGCTGGCGGCGGGGCTGGCAGGCCCACCCGACAGCGGCGCCAGTGCGTCGGGCAGAAATCGCTCCAGCAGCAGCGTGCAGAGCTCCATGGCGGCCTCCGCAGCCGCCGCCAGCCTGCGGTGCAGCCGCAGCGCAAGCCGCAGCGGTGGCCGCAACATAGTGGCGGCGCGTGGGCACGAGGACGGGCGCCCCAAGGGCGGCTGCGCCAGCAGTCATGCTCAAGCAACCAGGCCCGGCCCTGGTGGCAGCAGCCGCCGCGACGCCTCCCTCACCGTCACCGCACATCCAGCCCACCCCCAGCCCCACGCTGCCCCGTTGCCTGTGGCGCCACACCTGTCCTTGGCCTGCGCCCCGCCAGCGGGCGTCCTGATGTGGCGGTTGAGGGCGGACGCCAGGCTGGCGGTGTACAGCTGGAACAGGTCGCCCACGGCGCGCCGCACCGCGGCGCCCACCCGCGGCGAGTGCAGGCGGCGGCACTCGCCCGCAGTTGCCTCCAGCTCATCAAGCAGGTAGTCGGCGGAAGGGTAGGCTGCACCAGAGGGAAGGGGGATGCGTGGCGCAGCTGCTGGTGTGCAGATACAGGAGGCAGGGCCGAGGGGTCAACTAGAGGGCGGCCGAACAGGCGATCGGCTCAGCAGCGCAAGCAACGCGCCGCGGCAGGGGCCGGGGGATGCACTGCCGGCACTGGCGCGCCCAGCCAGCCGCACCTGCCGCCAGGCTGTCCCAGGAGGCCAGGTCCTGCGGCGACGGCACCGCCCCTGCCGCCAGCCCATCAACCTCGGTGGCCGCCGCCCGCCGCAGCGCCTCTCCCAGCTTGCGCACCCGCCGCGCCAGCACCTGCGCAAGGGGAGCGCACACAGGTGTGGTGGCATGTGGCGGCGTGAAGATGGGGAGACTCGGCTGGGAGGCGCAGCGCAGCTGAACGGCAGGCATTGCCTTGGCTGGGATCCATCCAAGCCTGCCATCGCACAGTGCTGCCTGAACAGCAGTTCTCTGCGCGTGCCAGGAGCAGCCAATAGTCGCCCTCGGCGGCCCTCGCCTGCTCAAGCACCGGCCACAGCTCTCGCTGCACCGTGGGTACCAGCTGCAGGCCGTGGCTGGGCTCCAGCGAGGCGGCGTGGGCGGTGAAGGCAAACGCGCAGCGGCGGTAGGCATGGAGCCCCGCCGGGGCGGCAAAGGGCAGCAACGCGTGCTTGCGCAGCAGGTGGCAGGCACTGCATGGGGTGTGTGGAGCAGGGGAGTGAGGACAGGAGTGGCGGCGCAGCTTCCAAGCTGGGGACTCTTGCACCACTCTGGTCTCCCTGTCCTCTGCTGCACGCAGCTTCACGCCTGCACAGTCAGGCGCGCTGCTCGGCTCCTGGCTTGGCGAGCAGCTGGCTAGCCGCTGGCCAGCCGCTGGCCAGCCGCCGGCCAGCCGCCTCACCGCTCGGTCTGGTGCAGCGCCCACACCAGAAACGCCGCGCTCAGCTGCGCGCCTGCTGCTCCGCCGCCCCCTCCCGCGCCACCGCCGCCGCCGCCGCCGCTCTCCCTCCCAAACACGGACGCCACGTCGTCGGCCGCCGCCGCCAGCGTCAGCGCCAGCTTCTGGCCCAGAGCCGCCGCATAATCCGCGCCGTCGGCATCGCCGCCACCAGAGTTGGCTGGCCGAAGCAGCGCCGCCTGCCGCCGCTTCAGCTTCCCTGCAGGACACCAGCAATGGTGGCCAGCAAAGCAAACGACAGGGGCATGAGAGGAGGCACCGGTGGCAGCCTGGCGGCGCGATCGAAGCGCGGGACAGGAAGAAGGGCAGCGCGGTGATGCCCTGCCCTCGTGCTCCCCGCCGCCGCCCTGCCCACCCGCGTATGCCTCTAGCACCACCGCGTGCGCGTGCTGGCGCCCGGCCACGCGGCTCAGCAGGTCTGCGCCCGCACAGATGTCTGAGGAGCTGGCGATGGGCTGCGGTTGGGAGAAAAAATGGGAGGGGGCATTACGCATGCATGCAGCGGGCGGGACGAGGCAGGTAGGCAGGCGCAGGGCAGGCAGCGCAGGGAGGGAGGGCAGTGGGGAGTGGGGAGCCCAGCGCCATTCTTTCTGAGCTGAGCAGCAGAGGTCGGCCTCGCCTGCAGCACTTGCTGCTCCGTGATGACAATCAGCCGCTCCCGCCGCGCCTCCACCTCGTCCCCGAGGCCGTCCAGCCGCGCCTGCGGCGCAGCCGGGGAGGGTGGCGGCAGTGGAAAACGGGGGGAATGTGAGACAGAGGGTGAGGGGTGGGAGCAGCCGCCAGCAGCAAGCTTTTGTAATGGAGCTCACACGCAAAGCCACCGGCTGCCACAATGGGAGCAGCCCTGTGTGGCTGCCAGCGGCTGCCCCGGCGAGCCCACCTGCTGCGCCGGGTCGGCCCGGTCTGCTGCCGCCGCAAAGCGCTGCAGCAGCTTCTCCAGGCGGCGCAGCAGCGACAGGGCATCCAGCAGGCGGTGCTCGGCCACTGCAGAAGGGTGGGGCGGGGTGGGAGGCAGGCGGTGCGGGCAAGCACATGGCGCTGCTCAGCGGCACAGGGAGCTGTTCAGCCTGCAGCATGATGCCTCCAACACCACATGCACATCCTAGCTGGAAAGTGCGAGGCAGCGCAGGGCATTGCGGGCCAATTGCAGCCAGCTCAGCGCACCCGCCACATCAGCATCGTCCAGGCACTCCAGCCACTTGGCGCCGTCCCCAGTCGCCGACCAAGCCGCTTCTGCATCCGCCGCTGCTGCCGCCGCCGCCTGCGAGTCAGCGCCGCCACTGCTGCCCGTCGCCTGCTGCTGTTGCGCCATCGCGGCGGCCGACAAATCGGCCAGCCCGTCCACGACGTCCCCCATGCTGCACGGATGGAGGCAAGCAGCAGGGTGGCAGACGCCGGGAGCGAGCTCAGAAACCACGGCCTCGTGCAAAGGCGGGGGGGGCAGCAGGCACCGTACTGCACGCCGCCAGCAGCAGCCACAGGCATGCGCCCGGAAACCAAACGGGCACGAGGGGATGCAGCCCGCCGCAGGCCCCAGCGCCCCTCCCCATCCCCCCCACACGCACTTGTGCAGCAGGTTGCGCAGCTGCTGCACCTCTCCCTCCAGCCGCAGAATGCCTGCAGCAAGCGGGTGGCACGGCGGGATGGCCAGGCACCTCACCTCAGCAGACCGCCTGTCGGGCCGCGGCGCGGCGGTCGCCGCCCAAACATCCACCGACCACCGCTCCCTCAGCACACCATAGCATAGCATCCCTAAACCCAGGTGGGCCCTGGCGCATCCACCCCAGGCCGCCCGCCCGCCGCCCGCCCGCACAGGCCGCCCTGCAGCCTTTTGCTGGCTCCCCACCCAGCCCACCAGGCGTGGCCCTCACAAACTCGCGGTAGTGGTCCCGCACGGCGGCCCTCAGGTGCGCCGCCACCTCGCCGTCAAGCTGCGCCAGCTGGCCGCGCAGCCGCTCCACCCCCTTCTCTGCGGCAGCAGGCGGCGGCAGGGGGCAAGGCGGGCAGGGTGGGTGGCGGCGGGTGCAGCACGGTAGCAGGTGGAGGGTGTGCAGGTGGCCTGGCCCTGCCGCCCAGTGCAAGCGCAGCTGGTGCAAGCGGCGCGGCGGCGGCGGCGGCGGCTGGCTGCCTGGCCCTCGCAGCTCAGCAGGGCCTGCAGCCGCCGCACCCGACAGCGCCTCCAGGTCTGCCTCCAAATTGAACTGGCCCTCCTCAAACACCTTGATGCGGGCTGCCGTGGTGGCCGCTATGTCACTCACATCCCGCCCCGCCCCGCCGCCGCCTGCGGGCCGGCCGCCGACGGCCTGCAGGCGGCTGGGAGCGGCAGCCGGCGGCGGCCTGGCGGCGGAGGCGGCGGCCGCGGCGGCCTGCCGCCGCTCCCGCCCCGCCTTGCTGCCCAGCTTGCTGACGCTGCGGGTCAGGCGCGCCAGGGTGCTCTTGCTGCGCTGCATCCTGCGGGGATGATGCGCAAGGCAGGCAGGCGGGGCCGGCGTCGCAGGGGATTCAATCACGACAAGTAGCATGTGTGCGGGCAGGCAGGCAGGAGCCCGTCTTGCATTCACAGACACGGCAGGAGCGGAAGGCAAACAGCGACTGGCCGCTCACTCCATGCCGCCATCATCGGCCTTGCCGCCGCCGCCGCCAGGGTGCCTGCAAAGGTGGCATGGTGCAGGATCAGACTGAGCACGGGTTCATGGAATTGCACCAACGCCGCAGGGCGCGCCAGCGGACGACGGCACCTCGGGCGCGCCGCCCAAAGCCGCCGCCGTCGCGGAACCCACCAGCTGGCGGCGGGGGTCAGTGGCGACTCTCCCGACATGCCGGCTTCTTGAAGATGCCCCCAGCGCGCCGGCGACACGCGTGCCGTCGCGCAAAGGCGAAAGCGACAGCGGATCACAAGTCGATCAAGTATTGTTCTGCCGGTGTCTTCATCGGCTGCTATAATGTAGAATGTAGAAGGAGAGCGAGGGAAGGAAGCAACTTCTCGGCCCAGCATGTGCACTTGCGGCTGGGTCTGGCCGCCAGGCTGCCCGCCAAGCGGGCATCCTGCCCGCCACTCGGCGGCACACCATGCGCGCCGAAGGCCTGCCAGGCGGTATACATCTAATTCCACCATCCCACATCTCATTCCACTATGAACCAGGCCCCCGTGAAGGGTTGCATTCCGCCCCACGCGCCCACGCTGGTTCACCCCGCTGCCGCCTGCCCACGTTGACCGCTCACCCGGCTGCTCCCTGCTTCAGGCATTGCCTCTGTCACCCGGCAGCTGAAGGCGACGCCCAGGGATGCAACTGCTGGGCCTCGACTGCTGCAGGCTGAGCTTACTAGCAAGACGCTAACAGCATGGGGCACAGGCGGGTCGGAGCGGCCCAAACACTCTCTGCATTTCAGCACCCATCAGAGCTGGATTAAATGGGTGGGGCGTGCCTTGGAATTCATTCAGGGCGCTCGCAGCGCTCGCGCCGCTCACTCCTCTGCCGCCCTGGCCGCCTTGGCGACGGCGGTACCGATGAACCTGCCTTGGTACTGCTTGTTCTTCAGCATGTGGTCTAGCAGGCCCTGCAGAGGGAGAGATGCGGCAGCAGCCATCCGGCAAATTAAAGGGGCGGCGGGCACCAGTCATGGTGTGGTCGGAGCTGGAGCAGCGCTGCCAGCTGTGGTGTGGGGCCAGCATTGGCGGATGCCCGCCCACCTGCTTGACCCCGGCATGCTGGCACATCTCGGCGTAGTCACCCCGCAGCGCACGCAGCGCGGCCGCCTCATCCTGGATCTCCTCATTGGTGCGCACACCCAGCCAGCGGAAGGCGGGCAGGGGCGGGCACCAGCCTGCGGGCGGGCGGTGGCAGGACGCGTGGCAGTTGGGCGCCACTCCCCCATTTCTGCCGCCTGCTGCACATCGGAGCAGGCTGCGCTGGTGCATGCAGCCCGGCCACTCCCCCGGCCACCAAGCCGGGCAGCGCTGCCGCGCCTAGCACAGCGTGGTGGACGAGGAAGAAGGGCACGGCGATGGCGAGGGCGAGCCAGTTGGGGTGCACCCAGTGGGCCAGCAGCAGGCCCAGCAGCGTGAAGCAGCCGGTGTTGAACTCCAGGATACGCTCAATATCCCTGCAGGGGAAGGGAGGGGGGCCACGGCAGGTGAGTCGCAGCCCACAGTGCTGGGAAGGCGGCGCCTCGGGAGGCGGCGGAGCTCGGCGGCGCCCACCACTCGCGCTGCAGCCCGCCGATCCTCGTGGTCAGCTCCTCCTCCGACATCTTGGCAGCCTCCTTCACGCTCTTGATGGCGCGCTCGGTGATCCTGGCGTTGGCAGAGGCAGGCGAGTGCTGCGGCACCCTGGCCAGGGCGGACGGTGTGACGGTGGCCATGTTTCCCAGCCTTGGATGCGCGATATGGCCTCAGGTGGCACTGGGTTTGAGTAAGACGTGAGGCATAACGTCATATCTGGCATTAAGTGGTAGCGCTGGCGCCCTGCTGGCATGACTGGACCGATTCCCGCAGCTGGCGTTGGCATCGACAAGCCAAATTCACGGGTGCGCGCCGCCGAAGCAGGTTGTCAGGACAGCCAGCATTGTTCGTGGGAAGGTTACAAAGGACGGCGCGTTGGTGGCACCAGGCTCTTGCATTTCTCTGTACTCTGCCCTACACCAGGCCGAGCGGCAGCGCCGGCGGAGGGCGGGTGGCGGCGCCGCCTCCACCATCTTGCGGCCAATTCACGCGCCCTGAGTGCAGCTGATATTGCTCATTGCGCTGATGCGCCGCCTCATACCCCGACACGACAGGAGTGCCGTTCCTGGCCGCCGTCCCGGCAAATCCATGGATCCAACCCTCCCCCAGGCCCTGCATTGGCCTCCCATCTGTCGTGCATCACACACAGACCACCAAAAGCGACCTGCAAGCGCGGGAGGCGAAGGGGACGGGAAGAAACACCTGTGTTTTCCAAAAGGGTTGATGTGGTCACCCTCCCCTTCTCGCGCTGCCCCGCACCAGGAGCTCCAGTCGGACGCTGCGGGTTGATCCCTGAGTCCTTGGGGTCGTAGCACCATGAACGGACTGTGCAGGCTTTTTCCCGCACTCACGAGGGGCACCTCACTCCTCGGAGCACAGCCCCAGGTGCGTGCTGCGGCGACAGCAGGCGGCAGGGAGGATGAACGGGTTAGGGTGGGGTCGGCAACCATGAGGGGGTGTTGCGTAGCCCCGGCGGCGCCCAGGACGCCAGTGGGCGCCTTGATGCGGCTCCATCATGACGTCCGAACTTGTTGGGCGCTGCTCAGGGCACCGCAGCCTTCAGGTTGCCGACCCAGCCTAATTGACAACACCTGCCGCCTCTTCCTTCTGAGCGCTTGGGCCCCGCGGGTTTGCCCACTTGGGCCCAGCTGGCGGGCCTCTGCCGCCCGCTGTCCCCAGGCGGCCTGCCCTGCGCCGTCGACCGCCGACCCCGCCCTCCCGCGTGCCGCCCCGCGCACCGCCTGCAGGCGGCCTGGAACGTGGCCAAGGCCTTTGGATACGCCACGCACAGCAAGGAGGAGGTGGCCGAGTTCCTGGAGCAGACCACGGTGCCGGAGCGCGAGGAGCTGGAGGCTAAGGCGCATGGCATTGAGAACCCATGGCACGAGGCCTGGTGCGCGTAGGCGGGT